AATGTACAAATGTGCTTTACACAATTGATGTGTGTATGGATTGTGATAAGAGTTGTATGTGCCCCTAATAAAACAATTTAAAAAAAAAGGAGATGGATTGTCCAGTAACTGCAACAATGGGTGCAAACATAACCATAACAATGATTGTGAAGATGACACTTCACTAGCCATTATTTAATTCTGTTATATGTAAGGTAGCAATTTTTGGAAATGATTTATTGTCATCTCCCAACATCAACAATGAAGAACTGTCAAAAATGATAGGATCAGTCACCTGATGCACAGGGATATTCCAGTGCCTATTTATTTAGCCTCTTCTAATGTGTATACAAATTTTGCTTGCTTTAAGTGTGGAATTTCCAACACTGTTATTGAAAACATTATGTCAAATTATCGTCTACAGACTTTTCAAGCATGTATTAACTTCCCTTTTATTTTGTTTTTTGTTCCATGACTCCAAGAAATTATTCAAATTTTATCTATTTAAATATCTCTCAAAAAGAACCCAAACATACTTTTTTGCTTCTTGAAGCAAATTAGGCTCTTAAATATTGCAAAGAATTACTCTTGGTGTTATTTAGTTGCATCAATACATTGGTAAGACCACTGCTGAATGGTTGTTCGCTGCCCTTGAAGTGATTCTGACTCTTGGCGACCCGTGAATGCAGAATAATACTGCTGGGCTGCGATCCACATGGCTGGCAGTTCCAAGTCACCAGCATCTCTGGGAGAAGGCCTGGACTTTCTAGTCTCGTTAACTGTTACAGTCTCAGAAACCCACGGGCATTGTGATGAGTCAGCATTGACTCAATGGCAGTGAGTTTGGAGGGTGCTTTTGGTATAGTGTTTTCCAGGTGGTGGCTTTTAGAAGCCAGCAGCCAGGTCTGTCGTCTGTCTGCTCATAGCGAACCTATAGGACAGGGTAGAAACGCCCCTTAGTTTCCGTAAGTTCTCTAGCTTGTTTCTCTCATTTATTTTGAATTCCTTTGTATGAATGCAGTCTGCATAACAGATCCCCTGTGACTTGTAAAATTTCACAGGTTCTTTAATACATTCCCTCCACCCAGAGTTTTCAGTGGACATTGGGTCTTAGCATCTGTTTCTCCATGCTTTGAAATAAGTTCTGACACCTTTTTTCTAGACGTTCATCAACTTAATTCTTAGGCTAGCTGCTCCTCGCTCTTTGGCAAATATCTGGGAGCTTAGTATGTCCTTCAGTTGGCTATCATCTATAATCACACATGAGGAAATGTTTAAAATCTTGGAATCTATTTTTGTCCCTCTTTTTATCCCTTTACGCACTCACTCCACCACCAGGTTTAGTGATATTTTGGTTTTACTTTTCCTTCATCATAGTATTGATTCCTCTTTTATTTAACATACATTTTTAATCACAAAATGATGACCTGCAGACAAAACTAGTGTTCTAGTGGCTATAGCTGGCCAGAGCCATCTTAACTCTTTCTTTTCTTTAAATGAATAAGATATGTGATATTTCACAGCATTAAAGTGAAATATTCAACTATCATGAATAACTTTGGGCAAACTTATGTATAGTTGACCCTATATATCATATCTTTAAACATTTATCATTGTAGACATATGATTACAAAAGTTTATCAGATCTAGATTTACTTATTTCTATACAATTTTTGATGGACAAAAATGTTAAATATATGGGTTTAAGTTATTGTCTTAGTACAAAAGGTTAGGTATGCATTTTAAAATATTACTTTTGATAACATAACAAAGAACATATTTTATAGGAGACAAAAATGAAGTCAACAATATAGTGCCTCAAAATATAATTAAGCTTTTCTAAGTGTGTGGTTTTATTTTTAATATGTTACTTTTTATTATGGCATTACTGAAAAGCATGCATAGCAAAATACTACGAATTAGTGACAAATAATGAAAACACTTGTTCTATTATATATTATTTTAAGTAGTGGCATAATTTTCACAATCATAATCAGTCTTAATAAAATATATTGCTTTTACATGTATTTTATACATGATAAAAAAGGATGCAGAGAGGTTAGTTAACATCTCAAGGTTAAAAAGCAAGTATATAGTAGCACTGAAAAATTAACTTTGACCTAATTTACAGACCTTACACTTTTAATCATTATATTTTAATATGTAGTTATCATTAATAGTTATTAAAATAATAAACTTAATTTTCATAAAATGTAATGGCTTAAACCTCGTTTCACAGATAATCCTTCCTATTCTAATGGGATATGTATAAATGAAGCCATGTGCACCCATACACATAGGAAGAACTAGAATAGCAGTTACAAAATACCATTGTAACAATGGATGAGTTTTATGTGAATGTTATGGTTCATTGTGCAAGTGTGAGAGGTCCCTATGAGCTAACATAAACTTGCAGATGCATTAGACACCTTCTGAGGCCAGAGAAGCTTCTTAATTGCAATCTTCATGTCCTTGTTTCTCAAGCTATAAATGATAGGATTGAAAAAAGGAGCAAGGACGGCAAACATCAGTGCAATGGCTGTATCCAATATTGGTGGGAAAGTGGCAGAGAAACGCAGGTACATTAGTGACACACTGCCATAGAACATCAGGAAGACACCAAGATGGGCTGCGCAGGTAGAAAAGGCCTTCCGACGACCCTCAAGGGAGGGAATCCTCAAGATCACAGTGATGATTCTGATATAAGAAAGAGCAATGATCAGGACTGCAAAAATTATGGCAATTGCATGGATCACATCCTCAATCAGAATCATGGAAGTGTTTGTACAGGCCAAGTGCAGTACAGGTTCAAAGTCACAGAAGATTTGATGGATTTGATTGGGGCCACAGAAGGGCAGTGTGGAAATCCATACAATCTCTGGAAGCAGCACAATGAAGCCAAAGATACAGGAGCCTGCAGAAAGCTGAGCACTCAGCCGGGGGGTCATGATAGTCGGGTAACGGAGAGGGTTACAGATGGCAACATACCTGTCAATAGCCATGGTAGTCAACAAGATCCCTTCTGAATTTCCAAGTGAATGGAAAAAGTACATCTGCAAGAGGCAGCCAATCAAGGAGATAGTCCTCTGCTCACTAATGAGGTTTGAGAGCATCTTTGGGATGGTGGCTGTGGTGTACCAGATCTCCAAGAATGAGAAAATGCTGATGAAATTGTACATAGGATTGTGGAGACGAACATCGAACCTGACTGCAAAAAACACGATGAGATTCCCAATGACAATGAATATGTAGATGACGAATAAAGGGATGAAGAAAAGGAGACAGCTATCTTTACCCTGAGGAAATCCAGAGAAGAGAAACTCTGTCACTGTAGAAGTTTGATTGCTTCTCACGGTCATCTCACTTGCTGTAACTATCATGGGTAAAAAACAAGAACATATCTTAGATGGAGTATAAAAGTCAGTTCTTTGGCTCACTTTAGACTCTAAAGTTTAGAGTCAAATGGAGAATACGCTTTAGATAAGTCATTTATCTCTGTTTATTCATTGACTAAACAAATTTCACATAGTGCTTTCTATATGACAAGCTCTGTTGACCTGTTGGGTAAGCACTGGGCTACTAACCAACAACTTGACAGTTCAAACCCACTAGTGTCTCTATGGCAAATAAATAATGAGACAATCTGTCCCATAGAGATTTCTTACCGGAGGTTCTAGACAGGGTCACTATGAACCAGAATCTGCTCAATGGCAGTTGCTTTGATTTTGGTTTGATGTACTAAGCACAGTTACCAACCTATTGAAGTCAGCACTGAGGAAATTAGACCTTACTTTAAAATTCTAATGAAAATAACAAATAAAAAGCAAATAATATATTAGTAACACTATGTTTATAAACTATTAAAGAAATGAAGTAGAATAATGATAGCCTTTTATAAACATTTTATAAATTGTTTTAAATCACTACATAAATTCTCTAAAAGTTATTGGCTACCAATTAGAAAATCAAAATATTTAGCCCTCTTCCCCAACCTAAATAGTTATGAGATAAATTTCTGCATCTTCCTGAATAATCTCTGAATTCAAAGAGACTATTTAATTAGATCACAAAATGAATGAAAGTGTGATTGGAGAAGAAAGCAATGTTGGCACAAATACTGTTGAACACTTTATAGAAAAGCAAATGAAAACAACAGGAAAGAAACAAAAAACAAACCTCTATTTCCTAAAGACTAAAGTAATGAATTTTGTCCAGCACAGAAAGAAAGAACTTATAGAAAAATTGAGCAGAAGACGTTCAGAAGTACCAAGAAGATTCAACAAGTAATCTGTGAGTTATAGCTTCAGAACCTGACTGGTGAAATCTTCTCAACCAGTCTGCTAAAGTCTTATCCCTCTATGAGTATTGAGAAGAAGTAGAAATTATGGATAACGTCCCAATCTGCACTTACATTGTTTATATTCTAGTAAAGACCCCCAGGCTATGAAAACGTCATAGAGATCTGAGGTTCCATCACAGTTTAGGGAGATTTTGTCTCCAGATACCTTGGAATTGGCATGAAGCATTAAGCTGCTATCTTTAAAAGTAATGTGGAGAAAGTCACAGGGATTACCAACAGCCAATTAAGAAAACTAATCTAACAGAGAGACAAAAACTCACTTTAGGAGAAATATTTAGAAAAGGAAGGAAGTTTGATAAATAAATTCTTTTTTGAGATAACATGAAGTTATTCACAATGAACTTCTCATTAATTTAAATTAAAACAATTGATAACCCCAAAAGTCAGTAAGCTGTAAGCACCTAGTAGTAAAGCTCTTAAATAATAATGTTTAAAAAAAACCAACACTTGATGGATTGTGTTGTATGCCAGTGATTTTTCTGTAAGACAGCAAAGTATTTCAGTTGAGCCAAGACAATTTAATAATGTATCCATACACAAAATTAATGTTTAAGTCCATGGAGCTTAAAAGTGATGAGTGCTATTTGAATTTCCAAACTAAAATAAGTAACTAGAAATATAGATGCATCCAGTGAAATATTTGGCACATATCGGTACTTTTGAGTGCTCTCATTACAAAAACAAAGTACATACCTGGAGCAAATTCTATAATGAATATATTTATATGTTACAATTGCCTCTTAGATAACTTCTGGAGAATCAGAAGTTCAAGGCGAAATAGAATAATTGATTTTACACATGTTAATCCTCAGCTCTTCACAAGAAATATTATTATAAAAAGAGAAATGTTGTTGCTCTACCAATATTAATGTGTAATATATCAATGTGTATCTATTCATTTTCTGTTTACAAGACACTTGGGAATAGATGTATCACAAGTCTTTAACTGCTTGCTCTTTGGAATATTCTTCACCAGCACCACAATGCAAACACATCAATTGTTCTCTGGTCTTTCTTACTCCATGTCCATCTTTCACATATATATGGGGCAATTTAAAATACCATGGCTTGGGTCAGATGCACCTTAGTCTTCTAAGTAACATCTTTGTTTTTCAATACTGTAAAGAGGTCTTGCACAACATATCTACCTCATGCAAAATGTCTTTTGATCTCTTGACTACTGCTTCCACTAACATGGATTGTAGATTCCTATCAAGACAAAATCTTTGACAATTTCCATCTTTTCTTAATTTAGCATGATGTTACACATTAGTGATTTGTGAGGATTTTGTTCCTCTTGACATTGAGTTACAACCTATCCTGAAGACTGCAATCCTTGATCTTCATCAGCAAATGCTTCTAGTCCTCCTCACTTTCAACAAGCAAAATTGTAACACCTGCGTATCTGTCTTCCTTAATCTTGATGCCACATGCTTTTTCATAGAATCCAGCTACTCTGATGATTTGCTCAGGATACATATTGAATAAGTATGGAAAGAAGATACCACACTCTCGCACACCTTTCGTTCTGTTAAACCGAGCAGTGTTCCCTTGTTCTGTTAGCACAACTGCCTTTTGATCTATGTACAAGTTCCATATGGGCATAGTGAAGTTTTCTTGAATTCCCATTCTACTGAAAGGTTTCTATAGTTTGTTATGCTCTACACAGTTGAATGCTTTGGCATAATAAATAAAACACAAATAAACATCTTTTTGTATTCTCTGCTTTGACCCAAGCTCAGCAATTTTATCTCGTGTTCCATATCCGTTTTGAATCTGCCCTGAACCTCTGGCAGCTCCCTATCAATGTACTGCTGCAACTCTTGGTACAAGATCTTCAGCAAAATTTTACTTACACATGATATTAATGGGATGTTCTATCATTTGAGCACTTTGCTAGGTCACTTTTCTTTGCAATGGGTACAAATATGGATATTTTACAATGAGTTGGTCAACTTTTCCTGACATAGATGAGTGAGTGCTTCCAGTGCTTCATCCATGGAACTGTGATTTTGGCTAATTTTTCAGTATAGCTTGAACTTCATATTTGTTTCCAACATCTGCATTCCAATAGACAATAATTATCAATACATCTTGATTTCACACTTGTTTAACTTCAGACTGAAAACATTGGTAGAATTATTCAATTTCTTTATCACTAGCTTTTGTGATTTGTTCATAATTTGAATAATAGGTGTATTGATAGGATTTCCTTAAAGGCAGAGAGATAAAATCCTATCACAGACTGCATTATACTTCAGAATAGATTTTGAAATATCCTTTCTGAAATGCACTGCCTTTCTTCTTGCTAGTGTCATTCCCAGCATAGTAAGTCATATCATTTTCTGATTCAAACTGGCCAGTAGCTGTTCATTTCAGCTCCCTAACATCGAGGATATCAATCTTTATTCATTTCATTTCAATTTTGATGACTTTTCCTAGATTCATATTTTGTATATTCAATGTTCTTCTTCCATTCATTAGGCCTTCAGTATCTGACAATGCTTCGATTCTATGCATAAGGTTTTCAGTGGCTACTTCCTCTGAAGTGGGTAGTTGATTCCTTCTTCATAGTCAGCTCTTAGTTTGGAAGCTCCATTGAAACCTGTTCACTTTGGATGACTCTGCTGTCATTTGAGATACCAGTGACATAGCTTTCAGCATAATAGCAATGCATAAACCACCCCTGTACAACAAGTTGGCAGACAAATTGTGTAATAAGCTATTAGAAACAAAATAAAAAAATAACATCTCCACAACAGCAGCAGAAAAAAATAATAAATATTTTATTAAATCTCGGAAGTGTGTATAGAATCTATATGATAAAATCTACAAAACACTGGTGAAAGAAAACCTAAGAAAGATGAAGAGATATGGTGTACCTGGATAAAACCTTACTGGTATTGAGTCTCTCCCAACCTAAGGAGAGAGTAAAACCACTTCTTAGGGTTTCTGTGACTGTCTTTACTGGAGCCTCATCTTTTACTCATAAGCCTGGTGGGTTTTAACCATTAACGTTGTGATTAGCAATGCAATTCATAATCCACTACACCACCACATCTCATAGTGAACAAGATCGCTCAAAAAGCTACATTCATCAACATCTGGTTGATTCCAACTTATAATGACCCTATGCAAAAATAAATAAATAAATAAATAAGTAAAAACAAATTCACTGCCATGGAGTTGATTTCCCCTCATAGGGATAGAACTGAATAGAACAGGATAGAACTACACCTGTGGGTTTCAGAGGCTGTAATTCTTTATGGCACTAGAAAGTCTTAATTTTCACGCTCAGGGTGCATACTGGTTTTAAACTGCTGACCTTATTGTTAGCAGTGCAACTTGTAAACACTATGCCACAAGAGCTCCTTATATACATGGATAGGAAACCTGATATTGTGAAAATATCAGTTCCCTATAAATGATCGACATATTCATCCAATGTAATCTCAATAAAAATCCCAACAGACTTTTCTTTTATTTAGATATCAACAAACTAATTCTAAAATGGATATTAAAGGTCAAAAGTAAGAGAATACAATGCACTTCTTAAAGGAGATCAAAGTTGGAGGATTCACACTAATTTTAAGACTCACTACATAACTAACTAATCAAGACAGCGTGGTATTATCAAAATAGTAGACATGTAGATCAACGCAACCAAATAGAGGGTACAGAAATATTGCTAGCAGCTATTCCATCTTCAATGGACTTATAGTTATCTCAAGACAACAGAATGAAATCTTGTCCCGTCTACACTATTCTCATGGTCAAATTCAGATTGAGATAAGATGTATTAAAAACAAAACCGCAAAACTGTTGTCAATCTAGGTTATTTCAATTCATGATGAACTCAAGGATGTCAGAGTAAAACTGGTTCACAATGTTCTCATGGTTGATTATTTAGGAGTAATTCCCTGGCTGTTCTTCTGGGTAAAATCAAATACCCAACATCTCATTTAACAGCCAAGAACACTAACTGCACCACGAAGGGAGGGACTCTGTAGGGTTCCAACA